CTGAGGTCCGTTGGCAAGTGGTGGTTGTCATTCATTGTCCGGTAATGCTGTTGCTTCACCGACGGTGGCAATCGCAGTGGGAGACCGGTAAATATGAAGGAGAATTCATCGATTGTTCGAGCGATAGTCTCGAGAGTGAGTGAGCTTATTGGGCTATTCATTGGTGTGTCGGCTTGTAAGGAAGGCTTTTTTGTTTTAATTCGGTCAATGTGGTTGGAAAATAGTTTTGGTAGGACTTTGTTCTTTTGGTTTCAAGTAAAGAGTGAAAAGTAATCTGCCTGCACGAAAAAATACCCGAACCAGGAGCGAACGTGAAAAAAAGGAAAGAAGATAAAGTGTAGAAATAAAAAAATGAAATAAAACGAAAGAGCACTCAGTGCTGAAACGGACAGGATAGGACTACGACTGGGGGTGGAGTGGTGGATCGTAAAGGTAGGGTGAAAGAGAGAAAAGAGTGGGAAACAAAAGTCACTTATTTGGCTGTCATTTTGGGCACCTTGCAAAGCAGTTTTTCAGTTAAACGAGAGCCTAACCTAGACAACACTATCATGTAACAATTAATGACGGAGGCGAAAGTATTGCTGTCCATACCGTGGTTTACTATGGGATATGATACGGTGCGATTTCGCATTGCTTAATTTAGTCAGACAACCGTATGGTACGGGGGCAGGTGTATTCGTTCATGGATCCTTCCTCGTCTCAAATTCAAATGCCCCCCGACCAAGAACTGTTCGTTCAAGGAAAGCGGCCAGCCATGTCTAGCAATTAGCATTCGTTTCGGAGCCTCAATGCTCCTGGAACTAAACCCTATCCCTCGTAGAAGATCTTCCGTGTGGCGGAATTTAGCCGTTTCATCTATTTTCTCGCTCCGAAAATTCTTTCCCTTGAGACGGGTCTTGACGCCCACGCGAAAACAAAGACAGAAAAATAAAACAAAAGATATTTATATTCAGATACAAGTGGAGATCTCGAGTATCAGGTTCTTCTAGAAGTCTCTCTAACGTTCTTGTTTACGCGTCGAGTTCGGGGGTTCAAATAGAATGGATACCTTAGACGTTATGATACATTACAGTATCGTGGTCAATAGTAAGAAAGCCTTATCATTAACACTCCAGGTTAAGTTACAGTGGTAATAACCATGAAGCTCACTCTACAGCCATTGCTTAGAAAAGTATCAGCAGAAGTTCCTCATATGATATTATGATAGTCTCTGCAGGTCAGAATTTCATATCATCTTTCCAATGCCTTATCTACCCTATCACATCAAAGGCTCTTTGCGATATCAGCAATAGTTTACTAGAACATATCCTAACCTTCTTAAAATTGCACTGTCTGTTGCACTGTATCACGGAGAAGTGTACCATGTCATAAAATTTAATGTGATTATCTATACATACACAAGCACAAAACTACCCCAGCGAACAACACCCTCAATGTCGTATGGTCAGAGGAAAATTAAAAAAATAAACAAATTATTCGTGCATACATGCAGCCGAAAGTCTGACGACATGGAAGCGACACAGCAGATCGACAAACGGGGGATAGTTGTGCACGGCACTTGGATTGAAGAGGGCGCTTTGGTATCATCTGCCGTTTTCCCGACTGTTGAATTTTTTCAAATTTAAAGAGGCGCTGGGAGCTTAGCCAATGCTTTTTAGAGTTCTTAAGAAGTGGGATTCCCGTGTTCGATTAGAGTACAGTACCGTACCTATAGAGTAACATAGACTACCGCTAGGCGCTGGCTGTCTTGCTGGTCTGGTCTTGACTTGTCGATCCGGACTTTATGACGGGAGCTGGGAGGCAGAGTCGTTTCCGAGAGCCCAACTTAGCAACACCATTCGATAACCCGCGCCAAGACTCATGCCTTGCTAGGAAATCACATCCATTTGTGTTCAGAAACTCCGTCCTTTAGATTTATTTATTTTTATGTCTTGCCATTCTTGCTCGAGGGCGGATCCTGGAGCGCCTACTCGAGTACATTGAAATACATGTGACGGGTTTGTTGCGGATGATGATATTTGTTAGAAACTTTTTGGGGCCGGGTTTTCAAGACCTTGGGTTGCTGGAACTTCATTCGAGCCGATTCTATGGTTCGGATGAGGAATTTATATAAACCTCGATATGTGGAGTGCCTTAGTGTGCCTTACGATGTGTAGGACTCTTGACTTAAGGTTTTGGCTTTCCCTCCCAGTTTGCTCTTCTTATACTCGTGAGTTATGTAGATTAAAGTGACGAAATAATCCCTATTGACAGCGGCCTCGACAATGGCCTGCGATGAAAGAGCAGGTTTACGAACGGGGTACTACACAGATTTTTATTTGGTAATGGCTTTATAAAGTGAGCAACATTAAAAATTTGCAACATTCAATAGCAGGGCAAATACTTTCATGGGAAAGCTTCTTCCTTATCTTAATTTTCCATCGTGTATCCGACCCCAGACTTCCCGGGAGTTTGACTGGCCTAGCGGGTTACTCTAAACGTTCCGCATATCTAAAGCATTGGAGACTAAAGCCGAATGGGGTCCTTATCAAGCTGAAGGCACAAAATAAATAAACCTATTGCATTGTCCGCGAATACCCCACTTCCACCCTAGTGACGGTAGATCTTTACTATTGTAGTGCCTAAGATACGGTATTTCCGGGAGAAGAGTTGTGGGTAATTGTAGAGTTGGTATAGCTCAGCAGAGCGACAGGGCACTTAGTAGGAGGAATGAATTCGGCAGTGTGTTGATTGTACCCTCACGAGCCTCAACCAGTCCTTGATTCTTTTCCAAAGGACTAGGCTCTCAGAAACTAAACCAAGAACTGGGTCTATAGTCATTACGCCATGAACTCGGTGCTACCAAGAGGCTTTTCAGCCCTGAGTTAAAGGATGTAAATGAGGTTTTAGTTGAAACTGCACTGCGAGGAGGTGATCAAGAAGCAAGAGACCCGAAAGAGAGATATGACACGACACCGGGTACTGGCAGCCTTTAATTGATTTTTATTTGATGCACTGCATGGCAGAGGATTTTTGTCCATTACCATAGGAGATACATAACTCTACTTTGGCCATTGATGCTCCTAGACTTATCCCAGGTCACTGGCTGCCGTGAAATGTACGATAGCTTGGTCTTGGCTATCTGGACACGTCTCACTACATCAAGCCAGAAACCAAAGACCGGCAGCTAGGTATCGCAATCCCGAGCCACATTTTATGGTGATAAATCGGGGGGAATAAACTTTTATCATGCCCACAGAAACCAAACCATGCCCTCTATCTTCTCTTTAAAAAGAGAAGGCGTTTTGTGATGGGTAGAGGGAGAAAGTTGTTTATTTGTTCTCAGCTTGCGCTAGAAGCAATCTTATCTATCGCTTAAAAAGTCCCCGGGTTAGTTTGCCTTCCATGATGCCATGGTTGTTCTATTCTTATTCGCTAGTGCAGGCCTTGGATCTAATTTCTCCTCGGGTTTTTTTTTTTTGGGAAGTTCATTGTCAAGTGCGTTGCTAGTGGTACAAGTGAGTGAGTATATGGGTTTTTAGACCTCACTAAGGACAGAGTTAGTGCTAGAGGCTGGAGACTGGTAAGGGCTCACGTCGACCTAGTGACCGGGAGAAATTACCTTCCTTTATGTTGGGTATAGTATAGTACTTTGTGAATTATCCGGCGGCATTTAACACTTTCTTCAGGAATAACTTCGTAGAGCATGTTTTGTAGCGTTGACAACAACCGAGTGAGTGAGCGTGATTGAGGACATAGTGGGGCTTAAGCTATATGAGAGCTCTTTCTAGCCTAACATTCTGAAAATAGGTATTTTAAGACTTCCACCTATTTTCCTAATACTATCAAAGTCGCCTTGCTGGGCTCATGACCCATGTCTTCCAATACCATGAGGAAAGCCGAATGCACAAATCCTAGATAACTGCTGATTGCCATTTTTATAAGCTTTGACTTTGAACTAACCCAAGAACTGGTTGCTTAGTTTCCCGGATACTGTGATGGATTATCTTATTCTGCAGAGGCAGCATAATATTCCACGTATCATAACTCAATAATCATTTGAAAAGAATATAGAAAAAAAGAAACAAATATCAAATGTGAAGCTCTCAACTCCTCCCAGCGCAATAAGACGCAGTCACTTACCTGCGATCTCTGAAGGTCAGAATGCACCTAGTACAAGTCTTATAATTCCTGCAAAATATAATGGTGGCCGCCTCACCCATGAGATAGTATCAGTATCAGTGAGATGCCAACTAGCTCCATTGATAGTAGATCGGGCGATCAACTAGTTCTTCCACATCGCCTGTACGGTAAGTTTTTTCCCAGGGAGGGCCTTCCTGTTTTCCTGCATCCTCCCTCTTGGGCGTTCAAGAGGAGTTATATAGAGGGGGCGTATAGGTCGTGAAGGTCTTTGTAGTCTTTAACTACCGTGGAGGCCTATACTAGTTCCAGGTCGAAGGGAGAGACGTGCATTTTATAATGACTTAGGTGCAAGCGTGTTCAGGGGTTGAAGCCATTAAAAGCATTCGAAAACTACTACAAGGCCAGCTCAGACAGCCGATTACCACCCAATTCTTACGGTATGTTTAAAAGTGTGTAGTGCAACTGCCGGCGAGATACTGGGATGCAGGAGCTAATTATGAAAACCGTGACATCGTCAAAATTCCAGAGATTGCCTTTCTGCTCAATAAAAATTCACAATTTTGACGGGATTCCATCCGGTTTACGGTCTACAATCATTGCTGCATATGAGAAGCAGCTGCGATATTTATCAGGAATGTCAATAGCCAAATCCTACCATCGAAGTGCCATCAACCTTGACCAGCAACTCGGATGCATTATTTTTGAATAGATCAAAAAGAAAAAAATCACGCTCGAATACCGATACCCATACAGTGAACTTTTAGACAATATTACACATTCATTTTTTAAACGTGTGGTTGCAGGAATTCTAACGAGTCCACTGAGCTTCCAGGTACTATAAATGGGAATAAGTATAACAATTTTGAAATTCCCGCAATGGTTTTGTAGTGTAATGGATAGCACTCGGGATTTTGACGGGTTGTTGCAAACAACGCAACCTGAAAATTTCCCGCAATCTGGGTTCGATCCCCAGCAAGACCTAAAAAAAATTACTTTTTGACTCTTTTTATCAACTCGCGCATGTGCCTTTCCTGTTGTTTTTTGGTCTTTGGCTGGACTGAACTGAGGCGAGGTTCCATACCTGATTTGGGTAGGGACTCCAGAATAAACTTGGACCTAATTCGGCCTCGCAGCTGTTGATGCTACTATAGAAAAAAAATCTGGAATTTATAGGACTTGTTCCAGTCACTAGATTAACATCAAAAACAAACTTCTGTGTTCTGGGCAAAATACCTTAACTATTAAATACCGATAACTAAGATACTCGTACAGCTCTTAAAACAATAGTCAACCAGATATTCACCGTATCCCACCGGAAAATCAAACACCGCCCATGCGAGACGTTAGCTGTACAGTAAAATAAAAGAAAATAAAAAATACAATCACTAAAGCAGCCTGTATTAAATAAGAACTTCCAATAGCCAGTACGCCAATATGCTACATCGTAGACATGAAATCCCAATTCCGTTTCCCCTCACGCATCCACTTCCCGTACAAGCTCTTGGATTAAATTCCGCACCGCCTCATGCTCCTCCACATCCCTTGGTGGAAAAATCTTCACTTTTCCACCAGCCCCCCCGCCCAAGACAAAACCCCCACACGCCACCTTGGCGATCGTTAAAGACGTGACATCCAATGCCATAGTTCCTCGAAGATAATGCTTCAAGGCCGCATAAAATCCTCCTCCAGGAAGTTGTTCCCCACGGGCGCAAAACTTGGCAATATCGTCACGAGGGATAGTTATGGTTATTGTTTTGAGAGTTGTGATAGGTGTAGCGAACGAGAGCTGCATGTCCTTTGGCGGACTATAAGTATGTGAGAAGTAGAATTCCATTGATCTTTGCAATAGCGACGACGGGAGTGCCAGCGGTAGCGGGAGGGTATCGAATCGTGTAGCGAGATAGCTGAGTAGTGTATCCCGGAGGGATTTAGGCAGGCGTGTTAAAAGTAACGGGAGTTTCGTGAACTCTTGGTTCTCATCCCTTGACTCGGTAGCTTCTAAAGGCGATGACAATAGCAGAGATGTGTATGTCATGTTCTCATATTGCATCTCAATCTTGACTCCGGCGCCTGCTTCCTCCTCCTCCGCCGCTTCCTCCTCGTCATCGCTCAACGTTTGCCAGCGAGGTAGCACCTCCCACGTCACGGCTTTTAACCGGCCCGCTCGTCCAAGTGCTTCATCTTCGTTGTCGAGCGTAATCCGTACTCCGCGAAGGACGTCGCCACGTAGGATTTGCTGGAGGGATCGGGCATGAGACTTGAAATCTGACCTCGAAGGGAATTTGTGTAGAGGGGATAGACGGTGGATTGTGTAGGTTACGTTATAAAGTGGGTGTACGGGTAACGTCGAGGATTGTGGCGGATTTCTGCTCATGGTGGTGGATTTGGAAGGTTCTTGGTTGTTTTGTTTTGTTTGTCTGTCGAGCACCGATACACACAGGTTGCTAGCAGTCGTGCGTCAGGTACGGTAGGTCATACTGAGAGGTGCGCAGGCGTTCTGGAAATTGTCCTGAGACAACAACCCCAGTAAAGATCTTTCTTCAATGTTATACTCGAGGACTAACATTTAGGGGCTGTTTGGCTTGCCAGAATTTGTAATAACGAAATTTGAAATTGAGCATTTGAAATTATGGCGGGGTAAAATTTGAAATTGGGAACTTCAAATTTCCACAAGCCAAGTAGGTACACAATTGTCAAAATTAGAATTTCGGAAAATGAGGCTCAACTAAATTAAATTATAGACAGGAATTAGGGTTTTGCAACAAAAGAGTTCTTTAGTAAGTCATCTATTACTGTAGAGAATGTTATTTTTTCCATGGTAATAACTGTCAATTGCCGATAACAACTGCCGTAAAAACTTGAATAATTGGACGGTGTGCTAGACAGTTAAAATAAGATGTGAAACCGGGAGAAGTGGAAGTTGGTGTCTTGGGGGTATTTTTGGAGTGAAACAGGATGATAAATCAAAAACATTTGACATCACTCCAAGCATTTTTCAACCTCAGGTGATGAGCAGAGAATGTAAATAATGTAAACAAACTTCTTTGAAATTATACAAAATAATAAAAATTGTTTAGGCAGCAAAGATGAAATTGATATCCTATTATAACTCATTCATTCACAATAACAATGCCTTCCCAACCATGTAGCTGTGTCCATATCCAACCCAAGCTCCCTTCATTGCCAGGAGACAAATTCTATGCTGGCATAAAAAAAAATGAGGGCCAAAGAGGAAGCCACTTGCTGAGCTTCTTCAGAAGCCAAAGAATAGTGTAGAAAATCCTTATTGGTCATATACAGTTAGCTTTAAGCTATGTGTATTATCATACTGGATGGGAGTTAAGATACAATGTGGTCCAACAAAGGTATGAGAGCCCACCCAGGATGAGGTTGCAGTGCAATTTAAGGTAATGGTAACAAATATTTCCTGGTGGAGAAAGGAAGAAAAAGAAGGAAAGTTTGTAAGCCCCTGAGCAGATCAATAAAGGGCAAGTAGTAGAGGGAAAGGCTGTGCTTGGCCTGAGATGGAAAAGGAGCTTTTCAAAAGATTTCAAGAATGTAGAGAACTAGGAAGACCAGTGTGACAGAGCTGGTTTTGTAGGGCTAGCAAGGAACTCTATGGGAAGAACTATCCTGAATGAAATCCCAGTGAATTCACCTTCTCAAATAGTTGGTTTTGAGGATACCTATACTGGCCAGGCATCAAATTAGCCTTTACTGTATCATAAATAAAGCAAGTAAACTCCTAACAGATTTTGCAGGAGCAATACTTAACTGGTTATGGTTTAATCATCAGAATTCTGAGCTATACCCACAGGACACCAATGTTATGGGGTAGGCCAACCGTAGATAGGGCCGGTAGGTCTAGGCCGTAAGCTTCTTGAAATAAGGTAAAGTAGGATAAAACAAGACGAAGATCGTTAAGGTAGGCTCGTATTTCCCGAAGTATTTTATAAAGGATATGTGTAATAATAGTTTTTTCAAGAGTAAGGTAATAAATATATTAATAAGATCTCTTCTCCGTTGCTTGATGTTTCTGATAGCTGGGAGTACCTCGATATTTATATTCCGCGTCTGGGTTATCGCGGGCTACAACCAACTCCCATACTATCTAGGTACCTCCGTCAAAAACCTCTTAACTTTCTTAAGTGCGAACACCTTTGTCCCTGAGAATATTTGCCTTGCTTAGCTTTGATCTCTTCGAACTCCTATTGTTTCTGGGGGGTGTGAACACTCCTCCAGTAGGTAGCCTTCGATCTCTCCACTATATGAACTTAATTTGAGTATGCCGCCCTAATGGCAACTATACCAATTGTTCTGCCTCAAAACATAAAGTGATCAGCTTTAATGAATGAGCGCGGCCATTGTGTTGCATATTGATGCATCACAAGGCCCATCGGATATATAGGGTTTTTTGCTCTGGATCGAGCCAATAGCTTATCCAGCGAAAACCTCTCATACCGATTCTCGAGTAGGCCCTCTTGGGGCACTACTTCTTTCAAAGCAAAAGGCTCGGCTCTATGGCTACCCGTCGGTGCCATAGGCTCACGATATTCGGTCACTAAGGTTTCTTCCCAAATCGTCCCATCACTTATCAGCCATAATATTTAACTGCTAATGTACAAGGTAATAGCTTGCTCAAAACTTAACCAAATTCCTCCGAGTCACTTCCCATGAGTCGCCAAAGGTGCCCTCTCATATATCCTACGGACAGCATCCGGTCGGACGGACGGCGACGACGTATATGGTGTTATGCTGAAGGTGCCATTTATTGTGGCTAAAGTGTCGGGACGCAACTCGACCGTAATACCGTAATGACGCCCGGTCCCTACATGGGGGCTGCAGGGGTATGGTAGAAATAATCCTATGTAAAGGCCGGGTAACTTGGGCCCTTTTTTCCATATGCCTAACAACCAACTACTAGCCAGAATCACTCCCAATTCCTCAGCTATCTTGGTACAGGTTATAGAACATTTGTAACATGGACTAAATTCCATCCTGTTCAAGTATCTAGAAGGTCAAACATATAATCAGATTGGTACTAAAACAATCTGGCTACAGTCTAGCCACTCTGAATGGAATAAATAACAGGGAACTATTCAACTTACCATCTTTGCTGATAGAGTTCCCCAGGTTAAGCCATTACTCTTTTTCTAAGGAAAAGGTATCAGGCCAAAAATCATGGCTGAGCAAGAGAAATATAATGATTGGGTGGTTGTAAAATTCAACCCAACTGTGTATGCTAACTCAAGTAATATGCTTGAGTAACTCAATGAGCAATTAGTACCTGTATTACAGGGTCAGCCTACCTTACTTGTATTAGACCTCTTCACTGGCCACAGAATAGAAGATGTTCTTGATACCTTTCATGTCCATGATATCACCATAAGCATAATATCAGAGGAGTGCATTGGTTTAGTGCAACCCCTAGATGTCTCCATTAATCATTTATTCAAGGACCTGCTAAAGGTTAGTAAATTGAATACCATAAAAACTGGAATAATTGAACCTCACATTAGGACATTAGAGTTGCCACCCATAGTAAGGTTGATCATATTTTTCTTTTTATTTGTCCCAGTTGAAGGGTGAAAGAGAGTTTTTTGCAGTGTTTTTCTCACCTTAAACTGAAGAAGGGGAATTCTGGATATCTAGTACAAGGACTAATTATTCCAATTTTTTCCAGTAATAATAGGAAAAGGGAAAAAACTTAGTCAAATGCTAACTTAAGTAAAGGAAGCAATAGATCAGTACTTGGGTGAGATTGAGGATGAGGAGGAAAAGATCTTAGGAGAAAGGGGGGCACTCACAGGTAGTATAGTGAGTCATTAGCAAGTGGCAGTAACTTGTGTAGTGGGTGAGATATGGAAAGAATTTTCAACCCACTATGCAGAGGTTATTCACCACTTATTCAGAGTAGTCAGCCTCTCACTCCCAATTGATGGGAGTAAGGATCATGAACTATGTATTAAAGGGTTAGAGAA